CTGCTACTCCCAACTCGGGACTTGCCAAATGGGTTTTCGGTAATTTCGGTTTCCTGGATTTATTATGCTGAAGCTCCCATTCAAGATAGTATGACCAAGATTACAAATATCTGGATCCAACCGATAATCTTAATGTTAACCGATACAGATCTAGTTTTTTCAAAATCATCGTTCATGGGATTCGAACTCTAGACCTGCCGTTTGGGGGTGCAACAACTCCACCACTTCACTAAGTCACCACACTCTTTTATTTATGTTTTATGTGAATTTTAGTTTATATAATTAGCTAATCTTTATCGATTTATACTGCTACTCGATATTGTGAATAATTATTATTTATGTAGTGCCTCAGATCGATTCTTATATCAGATCTAATCTGACGCACATCAGATGCTAATTTTCAGGTGACACACGTTACCTGTTAATCGGTCATCTGACGTGCATAAGATTTAATCTGACACAAGACCATCATTAGAAATTTTTTTTTAAATATAAAAAAAAAATAATTATGATGTCATTATGATGCAATAATATGTCATTACGATGTAATAACTATGTAATTAATGACCAAGAGTATAAAAAAAAACTTTTTTGAACCTTGGCTTTGTACCTTTGGTGTTTTCTGAAGTTAGCTTTACATCATATTCATTACTTACCTTTTCGAATTTGTTGGCTTTACTTTCTTTGCGTTCATTGGTTTCTCTCTTTGCTTTTGCTAGCTTTCTTCTCTTTGCTTTTACTGGCTTTCCTCTCTTTGCATTTATTGGCTTTCCTCTCTTTGTGTTCGTTGGCTTTACCTCTTTTTGCATTTAAATTAGATTTACGATTCTTCATGTTCGGCTTTAGTTTTACGTTTATTTGCATCTTTGCATCTCCTTGCATTTGATATTAACTTTGCATCTTCCTACATTCGATATTGGCTTACATTTTTCTAATTTGACATTGGCTTGGTTTTTGGTACCTACCATTTTCATTTTTCATATTTAATATTGGTATTTGTTTGCATCATTTAATTGCTTTATCTTAATGCTATATCTCTTAGTACTGCTCTTAACATTGTCTCCCTATATTTGGTATCGCTATCTTTTTACATTGGGTGTCGCTATCTTTTCATATTGGGTGTCGCTATCTTTTCACATTGGGTATTGCTATCTTTTCGCATTGGGTATCACTTATTTTCTTTGATCTATCTAAACGCCATCTCTATTCTTGGTATTACATACTTTGACCTTAACGTTATCAGTCCACATTGGGTCCATATTTTCTTTAATCTCAACTACACCTCATATTAGTACCACCTGTCTTTGATCTCAACTACACTTTCTATTGGCACCACCTGTTCTTTGATCTTATTGTGTCGCTTTATTTGATGCTACTGTTTTTTTTTTATTACATATTTTATTTTGAACTGGCTTTACGAGTTCATTACCTATAGATGGAATACACATTTATTAGTAGGAACACCCTTGATTGAATTATGAAAGAGTATATAATCAATCTTCCAAGAGTGAAACAAGCAAAGGCCTTAGTTAATAATAAACTTTTAAATAAAATTAAACCAATTTTATTAAATCCTAAAAACACCTCATTGTATGATAAAAACCTACATGGTTGGGCTAAAAAAAAGTTTGAGTTAGAGGAAATTATGCCTGAAGATTACAAAGTAATCGTAAAGGCTTCAAAAAACCCTGTGCTTATAACTGAAAGGTTTTATAAGGTTTTCTGTCATACTTATGGCAAAGTAACTCAACATGGTAGTCAGAAGCAAATGTGGATATTGATCTGTGAAAAATAGAAATACATAAAACAAGGAATCGTGAAAGAGTTTGTGAACAATTGTACAGCCTGTGCTGTGAGAAAACCATCGTTCCACCCTTTGGTGGTAAAATCTATAATTGCTAGGAATTTTTTGTCGTAACTACAGGTATGTTTTATTTTGTTCTTGATATTAAATTAAAATTTTTAAAATTTTCTAATTAGATGTTTATTCTATAGATAGATCTAATCGATCTATCCTACATCTCAGATGGTGAATTAAGTACATATATCATATAAGAGACCACTTTAGTAGGTTCTCATGGGTGAGGGCGCTTACATCCAAGAGACCAATTGAGATCGCATCATACCTCTTTGACCTTTTCCATCTAATTGGATCATCACCTACTATTCTGCAATCGGACAATAGCAAAGAGTTCATTGCACAAGTTATTAAAGAGTTGGTTAGACTCTGGCCCTCAACAAAGATAATCAATAGGCATCTTAGGCACCCTTAGTTACAAGGTCTCGTTGAATGGGTGAATGGTATTTTAGAACAAAAATTGGGAAAATAGAGAGAAACAACTGGTTAAAATGACTAGTTATTTGGTTTGAGATTAGTCGTAGTTGCTATGAATAATTTATGATATAGATCATATAAAAAATCTTCCTATAAGCTAGTTTATGAAGACAAACCTCATAGTAATTGTACTCTTGTTGATGAATTATATGCCAATAATATCTTTGATAAAGAGAATGTTCCAGATACAGTAGAGATCCCGAATGATAAAATTAACTTAGATGAAGACATGGCTGGTAAGAAAATTAATAAAATGATATAAATTATTTTGTTTAATTAAATTTATTTAATTTTTTTTTTTTTTAGAATTTTTACCCAATAATGATAATTCAAAAATATCACCCAACCATATTGGTTGTTCAGTGCCATTGCATAATAATTGTTTAGTACAATTATCTAAAAGTCCAGTGCCTTCACCCAAAATTTCAGTATCTTTGCCTGGTTCAGTATCTTTGCCTGGTTTAGTGTCTTTACCCGGTTCAGTGTTTTCACCCATTTCAATATCTTCACCTATTTCAGTGTCTTCACCCGTTTTAGTGTTTTCGCCTAGTTCAGTGTCTTTACCTATTTCAGTGTCTTCATCTGGTTCAGTGTCTTCATCTGGTCTGGTGTCTTTACCCAGTTTAGTATTTTTGCTAGACTAGTGCCTTTGCATACTAATAATGTTTATTATCCAGTATTTTAATCTAAAAATTCAATCTCATCATCCTATAATTAAGGTTGTGGTCAAGTGCTTTTGCCTGGTAATCAAGGTCATGAGCAAGTTATTCCATTTGGTAATCAAAGTTGTAATCAAATGCCTTCGCCTAGTAATAATTAAGATTGTGGCCAAGTATCTTCGCCTGTTAAGCAAATTGTTAGTCCTTTGTACAATAATGTTTTTTGTTAGTGTCTTTATCTAAAAATTTAATACTATTATCCAATAATCAAGGTTATGGGCAAGTTTTTTCTCTCAGTAATCAAAGTTACAATAAAGTGCCTTCGCCTAGTAATAATTACCAAGTGCTTTCGCTTGGTAATCAAAGTTGTAATCAAATACTTTCACCCAGTGATAATCAAGATTGTTGTCAAGTATTTTCACTCGGTAAGCAAATTTTTGGTCCTTCGCACAATAAGTTTTTGCTAGTGTCTTTATCTAAAAATTCAATACTATTATCTAAAATAATCAAGGTTGTGAACAAGTTTTGTCACCTGGTAATCAAAGTTGCAGTCAATTGCCTTCACCTGGTAATAATTGTAGCTAAGTATCTTCGCCCAGTAAGCAAATTGTTAGTTTTTTGTACAATAATGTTTTTTGTTTGTCTTTATCTAAAAATTCAATACTATTTTTGACCAGAAATCAAGATTGTGTGCAAGTTTTTTTGTCCAGTAATCAAAGTTGCAGTCAAGTGTTTTCACCCGGTAATAATCAAGTACTTTCATCCAGTAATCAAAGCTGTAATCAAATGCCTTCACCTGGTAGTTGTGGTCAAGTATCTTCATCTAGTAAGCAAATGGTTAGTCTTTCGTACAATAAAGTTTTTTGTCTCGTCTTTATCTAAAAATTCAATACAATTATCCAATAATCAAGGTTGTGTTCAAGTGCTTTCATCTAGTAATTGAGGTTGTGATCAAGTTTTTTTGCCTAGTAATTAAAGTTTCATTCAAATGCCTTTGCCTAGTGATAATCAAGGTTGTAGTCAGGTATCTTTACCTAGTAAGCAAATTGTTAGTCCTTTATACAATAAGTTTTTTGTTGTCTTTATCTAAAAATTTAATACTATTATCTGAAATAATCAAGGTTGTGGGCAAGTTTTTTTGCCTGGTAATCAAAGTTGCAATCAAGTGCCTTTGCCTGGTAATAAAGATTGTGATCAAGTGCTTTCGCCCAATAACCAAAGTTGTAATCAAGTGCCTTCGCCCATTGTTCTCGTTGATGACTCTGTACCTTCACCTACTGATTATGTTAGTTCTTCTGAATCTTTATTTGAGAATTGTGTTGGCCATCAAGAGTCTTTGTCTAATAACCATGGTATGTTTTGTGTTTTAGCTAATAATTGTTATTGATCAGGATATAATACTAATTCATCAAATTCTAGCTCTTGTTGATGTTACTAACAATCATTTGAATTCTAATCGTCATGATATTCTACGAGAAGCTGCATGCTATAACCTTTAGCAGTATACCAACAAGATAACACAACGAATGTTAAAAAAAAGAAAGCTTCTTAATATTCAAGTCGGTAATTTTGTAAGAGTAAACATTCCAAAGATCGATCAATTCGGTATTGATCGCCCTACTCTTCCCTGTAAAGTTTTGGAAATAACTGGTAAAGATTAGTACCCACTTGGGTGTAAATTTGGTATAATTAGAATATGCTACACCTTAAGCAAACTTGAAATGCTTGGAACTATTACTTGTTCTGAGCTTGATGAAATTCCATCAAATCAAGTATCGATTTATGAGGCAGCAAGGCTGCAAAGTGTAAGAACTATGTTAGAAACTATGTTAGGTTCTATCTGTAGTTGCAAGGGTTCATGTGATAGCAAAAAGTGCAAGTGTAAAAAATGAATGCAAAATATACAAGTCATTGTCATAGTGGGCAATTATGTTTAAATAAAGATTAATATACAGTATTATTGCATAAAAAATTAGTTTTTTTCCCGAATGTATTAAAATAAATTTATTAAATTTTGGTTCATAAGAAGATATTTATCTGATTGGCTAGATCTACCTGTGATTTCTCATAATAATTAGCCAATCAGATTATATAATTTAATTGAACAAATTTATAATACAGACAAAACTTTATACTACATACTAGCAAAACTTAGATCTTATTCTTTATTAATTATCCTTTATTAATTATATTTAATTATATAATCAAGTAGAAATTATATTTTAATTATTACTGCCTTTGTTAGAGTTGTTAGAGATGCTTACTACCTTTAAAATATATTATCAATTAGGCAATATTCTACTTAATAAAATTTTCTAGTCAAAGAAAAACTTTCAAGAAATTCCATTATTTATTTATATAAATTCTTAAATAATCTTATTTTTCAGTTATTACAGTTGTTGCACCATTATTTTTCATTTATATTATTAATTAATATTACACGTTTCTACAGTATCAATACTATTGTAAAGCCATATTAAATCTACTAAATACTAAAGTAATATAAATAAGTATTAGAATTATTAAAAGAAGTAGTTTAAACTTAAATACAATAAGTTAGATTGTAAGAGTTTTTTTTTCAAATCTAAATTTACCTTAAACATCTTGATCATTTTTCTTTTTTTGACTATTTTTTCGCATTTAGTACTTGTATATAGTTAATATATAGTAATAGTAATAAAATAGTAAAATACTTGCTTCTAAGTGAAGTTTTTGAGAATATTGTTTATTTTGTACAATAACTATAGTAACTATAGGCATTCTTTTGAAGCTAGAAATGGCCTTTATAGTGATTTTTTATTAGTGAAATGTTACATTCTCAAAAAAGTACTTTAAACTGTATAAAAAATAAGTTATCTGGAGTATTATGTGTTTTAACTGTGTCAGATTACAACTTACATGCATCAGATTAAATCTTATACACGTTAGATGACCGATCGACAGGTGATGTGTATTACCTAAAAATTGACCTATAGATTCATATTTATTATTGAGTAAGACAGGTTGCCTATCATTTTATACTGTAGGCATATACAGTATTAATTTATGTAATCGACTCTAATGGTTAAATAAAAAAAAATAAAAAAAAAGTATTCATTTTCAGGATTAAATCAACTTTATTGGTCGGATAATGTTTCCCATGGACACGTAAAACCGTAAAACAATTATACTGCGGGTTTACTTTTTGCCTCCAGATTTTTTGATACCACCCCCGACTGCAGTTGTGAAGTTAGATTATGATAATATATTCCAAAAGATAAAAATAAAAATTATAAATGTTAACATACCAAGTGGACCACCTTGTTTAGCTTTCTCTTTTAATTCTTTTAACTTTTTTTGTTCATCTTGCTGCTTTTTCTTGAATTCTAAATCAGCCTAAACATCGTTCCGATCATATTCAGGTAAAAAATTAATTTGTAAATTACACCGAGTTATAGCAAAAAAGTAACACAGATCTTGACAGAATAAAAACCTCATCTAAATCTGAAGCTTTCTTTTTTCCTTGTTTAAGTGGTTTTAATTTGCCGCCTATATTTAACGAATCATGAAAAATAAATTAAATCTGCATATAGTTTTTATTTAAAAGTTATTACACTTTAATTTTTAGTTGGTCAAATAAAAAAAATACCTTGACGACCAGACATTTTGTTGCAGAAAGATATAAAACTTGTAGTTCAAAAACCCAACTATTCATTCTCAACTTTTAGTACTGTATATATTATGAAGCGCAAGAGGAGTTACACGAACAAAATATTCAAATTTTGATTGGCTGACAGTAAGAGTACGAAGGACATCCGTTTATAATTGCCATAATGGAAGCTTATACGTACATATACCCGACAATCACGTGAAATATCAATTTTCGCGTGACTGCGATTGCATAAAGATGCGGCCAGTGATGACGTTTGGAGAACATATGGGCGAATTGAACGCATTTTACTAATGTGACAATCTGTGATGATCTGTGATTATCTATTAATTTAGCCAATTAAATTGA